AAGACATCAAAATATCTTATTATGGGAAATTTCAATGTTCATAATTATCATACAAAACCAAAAAAAAAATTATTATTATTATTTTATTTACCCGTGTAGACAAAATATACCAGTTCACTTATACTTTTAACTTTATATTCTAAATTCAAAATGTACATATCAAAATAAAATAACTCATAGCTTATTAGTTATTAATAATCAACAATTTCAACTAACACTGTGATACATTATATATCATTAAGAAAACCATCTGTTGACTCTTTATCATTTAAAATAAATATCTATTTCCACATCACTAATCTAATGCTTTATTTTCCCCATGTTTAGTTAAAATTTTAAGAATTTAAATTTTTAGAAACAATGCTTCATAAAATTTTATACTTTATAATTATTATAAATGATTATCAGTTTATCACCTGTATTTTATATTGATACATTAAATATGGTATAGAATCACATAAGAAATAAGACTCTTTTCATACATTACCACATTTCATGAACAAAAACACATGCAATATTCAATTGATCATCTTGAAACAAAAACTCAGACTTTCTATCACATTTTAAGTTAAAAAAAAATAATCAAAACTTCTCTATGTTTATTTCAAAGATATTTAATATTAAAAAAACATATTATCACAAATGAATAAATGCTTGTTTCTATATTTAATGCATTGAATGATTAATTAAATATTTGATATTCATTACATCACATCATGAATTAAAAACTAAAAGATTTTTCATAATTATTAAATTTATCTATAAAGTATTAAATAAAGTTAATTATGTTTTGTATCAAAGATTTTTAAATTCAAAAAACCATTTAATTACACAATATACAATACTAAAATCTATTATAAGTAAACATAAAGTCGAATAACTCATTCAATAAACATTGGATCCATCATGAAACTTTAACTAAAAAATTTGTCCTCACACTCTTTATTTAGGCCTCTTTACATGACATTTTTAGGTTTATTAAAAAATCTTATACAAATAATACCATTTCATCACAAATGAAATACTGCTTCCGTTTCAATAATTATTTACAATAAGAATGATTAATTACACATTTAATATTCATTAGAGCACACAAACTAATACATTTATCATAACCTTTGTAGTCTAGAAAATATATAAGTTATAATAAAAGACGTTGACGGTCGGAAAAATATCAAAAAACACTCAAATTCAGCGATTTCTTCGCTATTGGTTTTGGATGATTGTGACGATTTTTCGAAACCTTACACGATCTTTTCTTTTTAGTGTGCTAAAACCCCCAAGACGACTGGCGCGCTAAATAACTGAGCAATATTCATCGTTATTTATTTTATTGTCAGTCTTATTATACCCCTACAAATCAACTTATTAGCCCTAATATTTGTCTTTCAAATCCAACTCAAGTAAACAAGAAAGTACCATTAAAGCATTTTGATTTTAAATGGAAAAAATGCACTAGTGAAAAGTTTAGTGTTGATATACCAATAATACAATCTTATCCAACTAATAGTTATGTCAAATCTCCTTTAGAATATTTTTTAATTTTTTTTTCTAATGATGTATTTGAACTAATCGTCGAACAGTCCAATTTATACTGTTTTCAAAAATTTGACAAAATGTTGGGAACAAACATTAAAGAAATAAAAGACTTGGTTGGTATTTCATTAATAATGGGAATAGTGAAAATGCCTGCATATACAGACAACTGGGCTCCATCTACAAAATATGGACAAGTTTCAAATGTAATGTCATTGCGTAGATATCAACAACTTATGAGATGTCTTCATTTTTGTGATAATAATTGCCCTGATGATTTTGATAGATTTTTTAAAGTTCGCAAGCTCTTAGACATAATTCGTAACAATTGTTTATCTGTACCACAGGGTAAAAGATTTTCTGTTGATGAAATGATGATCCCTTACAAAGGCAAAAAGGCAGGATCTAGGAAACAATATATTAAAAACAAACCTAAAAAATGGGGTTATAAAATGTTTGTTAGGGCAGGCATAGATGGCATGGTTTATGATTTTTTAATCTATTCTGGTAACTGTACTTTTCGTGGTATAACTTTTTCTCCTCGTGAAATGAGTTATTTTGGCTTAGGACCAAGAGTGGTCATTGCGCTATCGATATCAATACCAGATAAACCAATGAGTGTTATATATTTTGACAATTTTTTTACTACTCCTGAGTTAATAAGCTACTTGAGATCTGAGTTTGGTATATTAAGTTTAGGCACTATTAGAAAACAGCATCTACGAGGATGTCCTCTAATTGAAGATAAAAAGTTAATGAAACAACCAAGAGGCACTTATGAATACCTTTGTGATAAATCCAAAAAAGTTATAATTTTAAAATGGCTTGATAATAAGGTAGTTAGTTTAGCCAGTTCCTATACACAAGAAAGTAAATCGAACACTAACATTATACAGCGATATTCAAAAGATGCAAAAAAAGGGTGCCTGTTCCATACCCTAATATAGTCAAAGAATATAACACCCACATGGGTGGTGTCGATTTAGCAGATATGTTAGTTGCATTGTACAGAACTGGTTTAAAGTCTCATAAATGGTATATGTCTTTTTTTTCTCAAATGCTTGATATATCTGTAAACAATGCTTGGCTACTATACCGTAGAGATTGTGAACTGCATAAAGAAAAAGAAAAAAGGCTCAAAGAATTTCGACATGAAATTGCAGTTGCCCTAACTAGAAAGGACAAACCTCGGCTAGGGCGTAGGCCAGCTTTGGAAAATAGTAATTTTCCTATTAAAAAAATTCGACATGAAATAGCTCCAAGACCGTACACTGAAATAAGATATGATAAAACAGATCACTGTCCTACCTTTACCAAAAAAGGTAGATGTCGCCATTGCTCAGCTGGTCAAACTTCAATAATATGTTTGAAATGCAATGTAAGATTGTGTTTAATTGAAGGACGAAACTGTTTTCAACAGTTTCATTACAAATAGTTTCTAAATGGTTCCTTTTTTATAAGTATTATTATATATAATATAATACTTTTTATTAATATTTTAATAATTTTTTTTTGTACAAAATAATAAGATTATTCAAAAAACTGAAGTCATCTTTATTATACAATTTAATAGTTTAAAGTATATTACTTATACTTTGTTGTTATAGAGCATCATATTTTATATATTAATTTTAAACCTTCTAAATATTTAAATTGAACCAAAAGACTAGTGAATAACAAATTATTACAAAGACTGTTTGTTATTGTTATAATATAAATATATATATTTATGTTTTATTTTAATTTTTGTTAATTTATAAATAATTAATTTTTTTTAATAGTCAGTTTATTATTTATAATTTGTTATAGTTTTTCAAAATAAAACAAAGTTTATTAAAATAAAAATTTATCAGTGTTTTTATACTATGTTAGAACCTTTTTCATATTTAATCTTGATCTTGAAAATGTATCTTGTCAGATACATGTATAAAATAAGGGTATTTTGATAATGTATCCCCAGAGATACAACTTATATTTCAAAATTGGTTTGAAAAAAAAAATTTTTTTCTTCAAATTTGGATTCTAGGACTCTTATATAGTTAGAAAAATATGACTTGAATATTTTCACACAATTAATTCATATAGTGTCAATTTAAGGGTTAAGAATTAAAAATTAAGTTTAAGATTTTTATTTTTTAGTTAAACCATTGATTTTATAATAGACAGATAGCCCACGGTATAGAGTTTTTCGGCAACTAATATTATGTTTATACGAACTGCTAATAGGTAGCGTTGTATCAATCAAAAATATAAATAAAACCCGTCGCGCGACGGTCGGTGTATCATTATTATGAATTGTATTAATAGTCAATAATAATTAATAATAATAACAAATAATAATAGATATCGACCGGCACGATCATTATCTGCGTTTACACTGAAATAGATTTTTGAATAAAACAAGCACGCTTCGTTAAAATTATTTATTATTATTATTATTATTAATTATTAAGAGAATGTGAGGATGTCGGCACACCGTTTGTTTTCCATTTCAGGCCCATGCACACACAACATAGACAAAACGTACAAAATTAAAAAAAAAATAAAAAACAATCTTAAATTACTAATGGAGAAACAAGAATGAAAACCCAGAAATTATAATAACAATATTTATTCAAATAAATAAATATAATCATAAAACAAAAATTAAATAAGAATAAAAATTATTCAAACAAATAAATATAAAATATATAATAATGAATAATAAAATATAAATAATTATAAAAAGAAACTTAATAATAATAATAATATTAAGAGGATTGGAATTAAATATGATTTAAAATTTTTAATTTTGATACTTTTGCTAGTTGTGATGTAGTAGAAATTGTTTGAGTTTTTTTAAATATTTTACATATTAATAAGTGATCAATGATGAATAACTTATGTTCTTTACAATTACAATCGTTACCATCATTTAACCACTGGTTTATTAAAACATCCACTTTTATTTTTTGCATTAATTTATAACGAAGTTTTTTTTTAAAGGAATAATTTTCAAAATATTTTTCAAAAATATCCAAACTACGATTAATTATTTGATTAAAAGAAATAGAGGGTGCCTTAAGTCCGGTATTATCATTTTCGAAAGAACTATAGTTTTTATTTATTAAAAGAATTTGATTTTTTTCATTTAAATCTTTACTGGTTAAAAAATTATTTTGACAAAAGTGACAGTTGAATTTTTTTATGCATTTATAGGCAAGGTATCCGGCAAAATACGTTACTGAACAGTCCTCTAAGGTGACTTTTGTAATTTGGTTTTGATCAAAAGGCAACATTGATGAATTAGATGAAATAATCGATTCAGTATCACTACAACTAGAATCCGTTTCATTTATTTCATTACCTAAAGATGATATAGGTACATTAATTACTGGGTCGATTATTACATTAAAGTCATCTGTTTCTTGCGTTTCTTCACAATTAGTCCCTTTTGGTGCACATAAGGAAAATATACAACTGCTTCTAAAAGAAGTTCTTATAGTACGAGATGTTGGATTTTTATTATACCCCCCTTTTTGTCTAAAAATACTAAATGCATTTTCCAGAGCATCTTGATTTAACCGATTTGTTAAAATGAATGATACGTCGTTTGATTTTTCTTCTTTGAAAAACTGTAGAATACCTTTAATACTTTGCGAGAATCCTTTAAAACACGGTGGTTGCGAAATTTTTCCGTTTTTAATTTTTTTTAAATTTGAAAAATAGTTTAAAGCGTCTAATAAAAATGTTTTAACATTTCCAGAGTGAGTTAATGCACAATTATAAGGATTACTACTATAAAGCGACCTACTATTCAAACAATCAAATAAATTATTCATAAATTGAACGAAATCTGCAGTATCTATTGCAGTTTTGCTACGGAGTTGACCAGTTGCTACGCAAGTACGGATGGTTGCTGCCATAGAATTACTCAGTAATTGATATGCCAATTTTACACGCATTTTTTGAAAAGAAGAAGGGTGGATGTGCGCATCTGTGATTTTAAAAAGAGCTTTACTTTTTTTATTTAATTTGTCCAACTGATATGTATCTTTTATATCTTTAAATGAAAAAATTGTATCGTTTTTTTGAAAGCAAGCCTCAATAAAATTGTTACGTACGCTTTTAAGTAAGTGAGGAACGTCAAATATAGAAAATATTTTATAACCATTAACAAAAAAAAACGGATTATCTTCGGAAATATTTAATAATTTCAAAGCGCTTTGGTTGGTTGTGCCTTGGTCGCATACTATAAGTTTCGGGCACAAACCAACATCAATTAAGTTATTTAAAACATCGATTATCAAATTTTTTAGAATTGTTTTATTAATGGTCGAGTGTGTAAGGAAATACGCAATAGGAAACTTCCACTTGGAGTAAATACCACGAGCCATAAACACTAAAACGCAATTAGCACTTTTATTCGACCTACCATAAGAACCTAAGTCTTGAAATCCCTCAATAAAATCATAGTCTTTGGAATATTCTAGAAACTCTTTAATATACATTTCGTCAAAACTAACAGTACACGCTTTTTCCTTATAACATTTTTGCTCAAATTTTTTTTTAATATGACTTAAAAATAAATCATCAAAACCCGGTAAATATTTAGACTGCCCAATCCATCGTCGAATTGTCGAAGGCGCTGGTAAATTAATTTTTTGTAATCTTAAAAATTTATAAGCAGTCGGCGATTTATAAAAAAGATTTAAAGATAGATTTTTTTCTTCTTTCGTCCATGGTTGACGTTTATTTTTAAGCTGCATAGTGACCAAAGCCCTAGAATTGCAAGATGGGAATCTGTGTGTATGTAATACATTTTTTATATTATTATGAGTCTTAATTTTAGAAACTGACATTTTTAATTTAGAAATATGATTGTTTTTATTACGAATAATTTTTGACTTTTGTTTTATTGATTGTTTTAGTTTAATTTTTCTAGGTGAATCATTATCGATTTTATAATTTATTTTTTTTTTTAAACTAGGACTTGGTATATCAATTAATTTGGATATTTTATTTTTTTGTGGAGTGGATGTTATTGACGAAGGACTAGGGAATACTAATTCTACTATATCACTTCTAGATTTTACATAAGTTTTAGTTGGGGTCAATAATGTTAATTTATCTGGTTCTGCAATTTCAACTGAAGACAAGTTACCTTTTTTAAAAATATAAAAAAAAAATTATTTAAAGTTATAATTAATTTTAGTTATCTTAGCATTTTCAGCTTTTTTTCGTAAAATGTGGACAAAATAATTATTACTGCTTTAAAATATTTAAAATATATGGGCATACATTTTTTTTATAAGCATTTTAACATCAAATAGAAAAATTATGAATATATAGGTATAATATAGTATAATATATAGGTTAAAAATAAATAAATGTAATAATATGTAGCCTTTTATATTCATATTAAATTTAAATAAAAAAATTCATTAAATTCATAAATTTTTTTCCTATAATGACGCTTCGTTTTTTTTATTTAAAGGAAAACTTATGGAAAACTTAATGTTGAATTTTT